GTATGCTTCGGCAAAGCTGCGCTTCAGAGCCGAGTCGTTGAAGCCTTGCATGGGTTCCTTCCCTGTCAGGACATTCTTAAGTCTCTTCTCCAAGGGTTTCTGGAAGCCATGGGGTAGCTTGATGCTGTTGGAACCCGACGAGACGAATTGACCGACCAGTTCGGTGACGCTCGTGTGGGATCTCTGGGCTGGTTTCGGGGCGGCAACATATTGCTTTCGTCTCTGTCTCGGTTGGAGGATGTGGTTGAGGTATGCAATTCGCAATGCAAAGGTATAGGCATCGTCGTGGCTGACAACGGTGATGTTGCCCCTGGATGCTCCCCTCGGTCTCATGCTAAGCCGATTGCTAGTTACTCGACGGCCCGGCATCCACGAGCTCCTAGAAGCGGATGACATGATCGCTGATCGTAACGGGCCCGGAGATGCGTGGGGTCGAAAGTCGGACGTGGGCGATAACGGGGCACAATTTATGAGAGAGCTGTCATTCTCGTACCAGCGCAGAATGGCCAGCTAGATGGTTTGTAGTGGTCGGCCGTAGACTTTGTCCGTAGACGTGACAGGTCGATCTGGGGTTGTCAGGAAGGTTCTAGCTGCGATAGCGGAGAAGTTATCGTCGGTAGGTCGGGGGGTTTGGAGGAAATGAAGGTTGCGGCGAAATGTGGTGTCCGTCGAGAGTTGGATGGTGGTGTTGATCGGTCAAGGAACCAATGTCTAGCAAGCACGCTGCAGCCGCTTGGGGACCCTCAGAAGGTTTGGGGGTGAATGTTTGGTGCAGCAGGTGACACACGTCATTGGCAGAAAAGGAGATGCGGTGACTGCCGGGACCCCTTGTACTTTTCAGGAAAAGGTGGCACGGTGGTACCTGCGGCCCTGCGCGGCGCTAAGCGGCCCTGGTATGGACAGCACGAGGGACGGGAGGGAGGCTAAGTTGGCGGATAGTGTACCTCTAGTAACATTTCATCGCTAATAAGGTACTTATGCCAGCAAGTAAGATTGGTGGCATTAGTTAGTGGACAGAGGTATTCTGATTTCATCACTGCTGGGCGCATCGGGTATCGATGATGCCTGACCGGCGGAGACCCGTGGACGGGGCCGGACCACTGGTCACTGCAGTTCTGGCCTGACGATACGACACCTTAATCTAGAGAAATGCGAGCGAACAGATAGTACCAATAAATGGCATGCAATGGGTCTACATAGTAGTTGTTTTGTTCCAAGCTCTGGGTCAGATTTCTACCTCTGATTTGCTTTGCAACAGAATTAGATACCAAACTTCATCAAGACTTTCCTTCTCCCCAACAGATGTTTGAAGAGAAACATACCTAGCATGAGAATCATTACCGACTTATGATGTTTCCTTTCGTTTGTCGGGTCGTGTAATTCTCCCTTAAAAGACGCTCTTAGGCGGTAAGTCCACGTACGTGGGACCATACTCTGTACAAAGGGAGGCACTCACGATACGAGATCTATTGCCGCCATGCTTGGCTATTTCGCCTTCAATACGAAGACTTTCACCATCTAGCATTAGCCTCGGATCCTGAGTCCGGCCTCCTGCAGATCACCTTACTTTCCTACGTGAATGAAGTCAAGCTTGAGACTAACAACGCCAAAGGGAACTGCTCGCGTGTTGTGTCAACAGTGAAGGCGGCATGTATTACGGATATGACCATTTCCAAAGGGCCAAACGGTATCAGCAAGTCACATGCTTCCGCGTAATGTGTCTTGGCCGCTTATATCGACCTTCTTTCTTGTTCTTTCAATTTTCTTTCTTCTCCACTGCATCCTCCGAATGGTCCAAGGGTACTTCCACGGCCGTTGTCCAGCGAATCAGTAGTTCGTCCGGACCAAAGATGGAGCGTCCTGGACGCGCATATCCGGTCCGTCATGCGCAGCTCATCATTTCCCGGTCCTTATCATATTATGTATGATACTACACGGACACTCATCAAGCATTTTCTTTAACCCAATTGACAATGACTTTCTCGGTCAAATCTCTCTCACCTCCTAGGCACCAGCAGAAGCTCTGTGTCCATAGTCATAAGAAGGGCCTCTGCGCAGCAGAGGCCTACGCTGGCGTCCCGGTGATTCAGTTGATTTGACGCAGGTGCAATCGCAGTCTATCATGATCAGGCAAGGTAGATCGACGATGTATACGTCCTGGCATTCAAGCTGGCAGTGGCACTGGAAAGCCGCAGCTCCAGAATCCAGGGCAGACGAGGTCAAGAGCCCAAGGTAGAAGGCTCAAGGCGCTATGTTCTCTGTGCCCAGTGCCCGATTATTCGTCCCAATTTTGTCCGAGGGATGTTCCTTGTCTGCCGCTGGGACGCTGGGGATTGCATGGTCCATTGTTTATCTCTTACACACGGACGAGTCCGGCTACTGGAGCCGTAATAAGTCAGAAAGGCGAAATTACCCAACACAGCACCAACAAGCCGGAGGTGACAGGTCTGTGTTGTAGAGTATTTGACATTTGGTGACAGGTTGCAAGTTCGATGCTGGCGTGCTAGACGTCACGTAAGTTGTGGGATCGTATCCGTAGGAGCAAAAAGCTGCTGACGGAGTCAACGATGCCGCCGCCGCCACAGTCGAAAAGAGTCATGGTGGTGATAGGTATCAAGGCGCGTACGACATGCTCTTAGCTTTGTACCTATCGGACAGCCACGCCGCGCAGGCCATGGCGGCCGGCGCCCTTTGATCGGTGACAGGCGCACTGCTTCTGAGAAAGGAAGTCTGAAACAGCTCTCCATCCTCTTTTACCTGAGAGTCTCGAAATCGGCTGGACTCTGCTTGGCTCATAGCAAAGGTAAAAAGGCGTAGACGCTTTCCGGGCCTTTGGTAGGCATGAGTACAGCATGACGAACCCAATACTGAACCCGACTGGCTAGACGGATAAGTCGATCAACATAGAGACTTCGTTCGTATGATTCGAGAGAGCTTGTTGCATCTAGTTCCTGGAGGAGAGTGACGGCCGATTGACTTTCAAGGCTTTTCAGAGGACTGGGGAGCCAGTAGGGGAGCCAGTCTCCGAGGGCCCCTCATCAGCTACCCCTTTTCTTGATGCAATGTAGAGGCATAATTCACAACCTGCAGGTGGTGTCGTCGCAAGTTGACGAGTTGAATCCCAACTCTCTGGAATCTTGAACAAGGAAACGGGCGGAAGCGCCATAATCAAGCGAACAGTTTGCAAGAGCCGCTTTGTCGACGTGATGAACAGAATCCTTGGCCAGCGACCAACAGACTGGGCCTTGTCTCCACGCAGAAGAAACTTGGGGGACGGAGACATGGCGTCCGAGAGGGTGTTCAAGATCTCGCAGCTTGCTGGGCTTTACTTCGCTTCCCAAAGTTGGGAATCTGGGAGGGGCAAACACCTAGGCCCCCTAGGGTGGAGAGGATGGGGAGGCACGAAAAAGGACGGCGGTACGGAGTACTGCACGCCCAGTCAGCTTGTTGCTTGTTCGTGCTTGTCATGAAGACATGGTAATTAGTGCCAAGGTGCCCTGCTACGGCCCAACAATGTGTGGTATGGACACGACCAGGTGGTGTGGTGATCCCATGCGCTTTGGTCAACTGTCGAAGATCTTGGGCTGGTGACCCCACCATAGATGGCTCAAAAAGTGAAAGAGGCCGCCGTTGTGCCTGGAATGAAGGAGAGACGTGGATGCTGTTCAGTGCCCCAAAGAGGACCTAGGAGGACACATGAAACCCGGAGGTGAGATGGTGGATGGCTGGCGGTGATGGTGTTGGTGGTGGTGCTGTTTTCGTAGTTGACAAGGCTATGGATGGTTTGGTGTCCATTGGTGTTGAGGTAAGATTGAGGCTCACGTTCCTGAATGCCATGGAGGTGATGCCGAGGGGGTAAAGCTCTTTGTGTGATAGATATTATTGTCGTTGATGCAGCCTGGTGCTTGGTATTCCATTGGAAAGGCTAGACGAAGAGAGTTCCACGGGTGGATAATAATGGGAATTTGAGGCCGGCGGGCAGGGGTCGGGATAAAAGTGAAATCGGCGCCAATCTCGTCTTTGCCAACCCTGGCGCCTGAAGACCAAGTGGGCTTGATTCAACGTCACAACGGGGGAAGGCACTTGGGGATTGAGGTGCACCTGCCCAGCCAGCGCTGTAGTGTATGTACCTAAGAAAGTTGCGCATCGCAGCTTTCCAGTGGCAGCGGCGGCGCGTACCTACACAGCAGGTACCTTTCATGCTTTCCACCTAGGTAGTCCACCTACCTAAATTCAGACGAGGTGGCATGGTACCTTACCTTACTCCAGACCACCAGAGTGACAAGCCCGGCCCGGCCAAGTCCAGCCCACATGCATTGTGTACATATACCTGGTTGGCGTGGGAAATCTCCGCGGCGACACAAGTATCTTGAACCGAATGCGGGCCTTGACGACACTTTCAAGGAGGGGATGGGGGGGGGGGGGCACCACTGGGGGGCACATCAGCGGCAGCAGGCAAGCACCTCAGCAATAGCAACACAGTGACAGCAACCGACAAGCAACAGGCCTCTGAAGCAGACGTGCCGCAGCCCAGCAGCAGGTGGTTCTCCGTCGACATCGGATCGCAACATTCAACCTTTTGCATTTCCATGACTCTCTTATTCATTTCCCCCCTGTCCATTCTACACTACAACAACTACCACTACTTCTCTGGTATTTTACCTCTTATTCCTGTTCCCCCTCAAATACTCCCGTCCTCGACGCCGCCGTTGCCTGCCGTTATCCCCGCAGCTTTTACTTTAACCCCTTCGCTCAGGCCCTCATCGCCTCCCGCAGCCGCAGCGTCTCGAACCTGGCTGCTCAGTCCACGCTTCCGTACCGCCTGCCCGTGGCTGTGGCTTGGCCTCTTTTCGTATCGCCAAATGTTCACGATCCTGGCTAACTTGCGACCCCGCGCTGCGAAGCTCGCCGACCACCAAAGAGGCGTCCCCTCTGCCTCTGCCTCACCTCCGACGTTCTACATCTTCATGCGCCGTTAATCTCAACTTCAACATCTCATCATGGGCATCGTTAGCAGCAAGCCCGATGACGGGGCTACCCTCTATCTTAGAGACCAGAATCGACGTGCGGACCCCCCGCCCTCTGCTCCCTCTATTCTGCTTGCCTCTGCTTGGCCTGTTCATGCAAGCAGCCTTGCGCACCTTCTTGCTAACTCTTCGTTGCAGTATCCATATCTTCTCTCGTCATTTCCAACCCGCGAAGGCGCTCTGCCGTAAACATCGTTCCCAATGCATTCCCCGCTACCAGAGTCTCGGCCTCTCGTCCGCTAGGCGACGGCAGTCCCATAGAATTCGTTCAGGTTCGTAGGCGCACAGAACAGCACCAGACTCCCTCTGCTCTACTACCTCACAGTGATATGCGCTGACCATCGCATTTGCAGGACACCGAAGTCGTAACAAGTCCCGGCGGCGTCCCGAATTTCATACTGAAGCTCAACCAAGACGACGAGCTAGTCTTCACCTTCACCTTCGTTATACGTCAAGGCCAGCAGTTTGTCACGAACGGCGGCGCTGACGCTGTAGCAACGACCGACACTCAAATCAGCGGGCTGACCTATGTCTATGCCTCTACGCCCCGCGAAGTAGAGAACTTGGTGACCCGCGAGTTCCACGCAGACCCGAATCTACACAAGAATTCCAACGTTGAGTTGGTAGGCGACTTTGCGACTGGCGGCACTCCCTCTGTCTCTTTTGAATGGACCTGGAAATGGAAACCTCCAAAGAGCATTGAAGACAGGGGTGGTGGATGGAGGAATTCCTGCAGCGTATGCTCACCACAGACCATGAGCATGGAGCATTGCTAATCCCATCATAGTTCGTCGAGTACGACCCTCGCGCTCACTGTCTGCATACTCTAGCTAGTTTCTCATATTGGGTGTCGAGTAAGGCTTCGCTCGTCCTTCTTACCCGCGGCCCGCAGCTGACTTCTTCTAGACCCAGTCTTGCCGCTCAGCCACCCAAACTCGCCATCCCCTCCCTTCCTACTGACCGCCCCTCCCAAGATCCGTGTCGCCTCGTCCCAGTCTGTGGATTCTCGGATCAGTCATGCCGAGTTAGACGAGCCCTTGTCACCGTTGCCGGGCAATACATCGTCGACCACCATACTCCCTGTGCCACAATCTGCATCGGAGCCGATCAAAGTCGATGTCGCATGCCCGAAACCCACCGACGATGTTCTCGTACCAGACGATGGACCCGTCTTCAGGGCAACGATTAAATCGTTGGAGCAAAAGACTGGTAACATGCGGACGCAGATGAAGCGCGTGCTCAAGATGGCTAAACAAGCACACGAGGCACAGCAGGAGGCCAATAAGAACTTTTCCGAGTTCATCGATACTCTTCGAGAAGCCTCTTCGACAAATGCCAATGCTGTCCAGCCAGCCATCGAACACTACTTTGACAAGATTGCCCGGGAAATTCTCGCCTACGAGCGGACAAATACCGTCAACCTCAAGAGGATTGTGATCGATCCTTTGGACAAATTCTACACAGTGGACATCAAGCAAGCCGAGTCCAAGAAACGTGACTTTGAGGAGGAAAGCAAGGATTACTATGCTTACGTTTCAAGATATCTCGGACAGCGTCATGATTCTGTCAAGGCTAAGAAACTGGCAGAGAGTGATTCAAAGTACCAGACCAAGCGTCGCAACTTCGAGCTCAAGCGTTTCGACTATTCGAGTTTCATGCAAGACTTGCATGGCGGCCGGAAAGAACAAGAGGTTCTGTCCCACCTCACGCGATACGCTGACGCTCAAACGAAGAGCTTCCTCGAGGCAGCGAAAAAAATTGATACCCTTCTACCCCAATTGGAGGCACTTTCAAGCGAAGTACAAGAGGCCGACAAAGAATATCAGTACCAAAGGCGGGAGCGCGAAGAGAAGAGACGACTACTCGAGAAAAGCAATCATCCGTACAATGAGCCTGATCCCATTCCAGTACCCGGTACAAGCAGTGGCCCGGTTGCGAGCTCAAATGGGAATGCATATGTTTCCGACAGTGATCTAGGCCGTGCCGATAGTACAGGATCGCAGTTGAAGGTGGCAATGTCTTCGGGTTCGAATCCTTCCCTTTCAATGGCTTCTCCTGAGCTATCTCGGTCCCCAGGCAGTCTTGGCAATTCTTCTGTTGGAAGTCCTGCTCAAGCCTCAAAGTTCAAAGGAATCCGTGATTTGGAGGAGAAAGACTATGGACAATCGTCAGGCGCCAGCAGCACACAGCGTAAAGAAGGACTGCTTTGGTCCCTTAGTAAGGGAGGAAGCAATCATGTTGACCCGCGCAATCTGAACAAACAGGGCTGGCACAAGTAAGTTCACTTGGGAACCCCAGAAGCATTTTGCGTCCTAACAAGCCGCAGGTTCTGGATTGTGCTCGATCAGGGCAAGCTCTCGGAGTATAGCAACTGGAAACAGAGGCTTGATCTGCACAATGATCCAATCGACTTGAGAATGGCATCTGTACGAGAAGCACGGAATGCCGAGCGTCGATTCTGTTTCGAAGTCATTACGCCCCAGTTCAAACGAGTCTACCAAGCGACATCGGAAGAAGACATGAACAGTTGGATAACGTCTATCAACAATGCGTTGCAAAGTGCGGTCGAAGGCCGCATCATGAGAGACAAGTCGGCGCCGAGCGATTCAGGATATATCAAGAGAGACATTGGCTCGATCCTCACCGGCAAGAGCCCCTCTGTTGGCCACAATAGCCACCACAGTCATGCAAATTCAAATAGCGCACCCGTACGCCGAATTACTGTGGGCGCTCGGCCCAGCACGCACCGATCAACTAGCTCGAGTTTTGACGAGAATCCCGACAAGCTGCTTCAATTGCTTCGCGACAACGACCAAGGAAATTGCTGGTGCGCTGATTGCGGATCGGGTACAAAAGTCGAATGGGTTTCAATCAATTTGGCCATCATTCTTTGCATTGAATGTAGCGGCATTCATCGCTCCCTCGGCACGCACATCAGCAAAGTGCGATCTCTCACCTTGGACATCAATTCCTTCACCTCTGATATTGTCGAGCTATTACTTCTTGTTGGAAATAGAGTGTCCAACATGATTTGGGAAGCGAAGCTCGAGCCTGGCTACAAGCCGACACCACAGGCAACCCGAGAGATGCGGTTGCGGTTCATCACAGCAAAGTACGTGGATAGGGCATACGTCGAGCCGATTTCAGCCACGCTTTCGCGTTATCCAAACCCTGACGACACCTTACTGGCGGCCATCAAGAAGAATGAGATCCAGCAGGTGATTTACGCCCTGGCTCTGAGGGCAAGCCCCAACGTCACGGACAGGTCTCGAGGAACCCACGCAGTTTTCTTGGCGCTGGCGGCCGCCGATCCTGCGTCACCTTCTCCCACTCCTGGACAGCCCCCGGAGACGGACAGAACGGTACCGTTCCCGGTGGCAGAGATGCTGCTTCAAAACGGCGCAGAAATTCCGTTGACGATGCCGGCCTTCCCCCTAAGCCGGAGTGCGCAATTGTATATTGAAGAAAAACGAGGACGCAGCACGGGATTTACAAACGACAGCGTTGGGTCACTACCCGGCAACTTGAGTCCCAACGAGAAGCTGCAGCGGGAGAGAGATGCCCGTTTACAGAAGAGAGTAAGCGCGGGAGGACGTCTGGCCAAGAGCCCGATTCCGGAAAGGTAGCGACCTACCTGTCTCGAGCGGCTGGGACAACTCAACATGTGCCTTGCCTTTGCACTGCATGCGAGGCGTAGATCTTCTCTTGAAGTTCGCTTATCGACAGACGATTATGATGACTCTGGGGGCGATGACGGATGAAATCGTGTTGGCACTGGCAAGAAAGGCGAAGGGGAACTGGCTGGCATGCTTTGATACTGTCATTACGAGAAGCCATATTGCTTTTGAAGGGCCCGGGGGCATTCTTTTCTACCGGGCGAGAGGTTATCTGTTTTCATTGCCGGACATGAGGAGCCCAGAGTCATGGGACCATGTTGTCACATATAGCATGTGTACAGAGTGCTCTTTTTCCGATGACAGACGCCAGCGCAGGGTCAAGCAGGTACACACCGTTGGAGTAGTCCTCGATTGGAGAAGGCCAAGGGTTGGAGAGGAAAGAGACGGCCGTTGTGCGCGTGTGCTTGTCTGTGTGTGTATGGATAGTAATAGTAATGAAATGATGAATACAAAGTAAGACAGTCACCTTTTATTTCGGCTGTTTCGTTTGCTACGGACCGAGTGAATGAGGCGATTGAGGCGGAAGTCTTATTGCCACTAGCAGTCAGAGAAAAAAGGGGGGGGAGGGCAGTGGAATCGTAAATGAGTCGTTTGGAGGCATGTGAAGCATTCACGTGTGGATGCGGCGGGGGATGAATCACACCTGCGATCCGTAGTATACTTAGCCACAGCAAGCGACGGGATGCGCACCTAGGTATTCTTACAGAGTGACCAAAGTGACGGGGCAGATTGGGTGGGGGGAACGTCACTTTTAGATGCTGGGAAGGGCACATGATGGGGATGTCTCAATTTGGAGACTCGAGATGGGGGAAGAACGGGTGTCTGCATCAAGCTCGTTCGCCATACCCGCTGTCAAGACCCGAATTTGACAAGGTGCGGTGAGTCCATGACCATAGTATGGGAGATCTCGATGGTGAAGAGTAAGGAACCTTATGGGCAATAGCGGCTGTATGATTCATGAAGACCTTACCTAGCTTGAGGTACCTTGCTCTACCTTACCTTCATCATCTGGTTGTGGTTGAGTGGGCACCCCATTTCCAGGCGAAAGTCGCGATAGTGTGCAGGTGAGGTTTACTGAGAGAAGAAGAATGGCTCACATGAGACCTGGTTCTTTCCGCCACATGGTTCGTGTTAGAGGCGGAGGCGGAAGGGAAGGGGGAGAGAGGAAGCTATCATCAGTCTCACGCGGGCGCGATTCTTGCTCCCGCTTCGTGGGGCTGGAGGTATTCATATGGAAGGGGATGGGAGTCATTCCCCATTTCCAGAAAATGGATTTTGTAATGTTCTGCCGTTCAATTACTTCCGTCGTCGTTGTCCTCGCATTACTCTTCGTTGCAGAAGCACCATTGCGCTCGTCTTTTCAACTCTGCGCGACCCAGTGAATATCGACTTCTACCCTTGCCTTGAGGCACCTTACCTTACACCACCTCTCTACCTTATCTGTCGTATCTGTGCACGTATTTGCCAGATCTGCATACGACCTGCGGCACTCGAGAAGAACGAAAAGGAAAGAAAAAAAGGACAGAGCAGGGAAAGCGCCTTTGGGTTACCTCATTTGAGAGGGCAAGAGAAGAACAGCTCGCAGGAAACAGCCGATGACTGCATGTCTAGGCTGCAGCGCACCCAACTGCTGCACCACTGCAGTCATTCGATCCTCAAGGACCCACTTGCTCCTGGCACAGTCCTCGATCCGAGAAAACGGAAGGAAGGCCCTGTCAACAGTCAATCTCCACTACCACTGCCTGCCTGCCTCCAGCAAGCAGTCCAGCTGTCTGAGGTGAGGTGACTCTGGGGCGGTGTTCACAGTTCAGCCCAGTACCTTACCCTCCGGGTGACGGAGCCAGCAAGCCCCAGCCAGTCCAGCCCAGTGGACGGGACCCTCTCCAGGACCAGGACACAGGACACCCGTGGACAGGACAAGCAGGACCATCACCTCACAGCACCGGGACACAGGGACAACCTGACGGGACCCGGCAGCTTGCACAGGGCCATTGTAGGGGCGTTTGGTTGGTTCTTCCACTTTTTGGTTTGGCTTGGCCGTAGCTTGAGCACCACTGCACTTGCACCTGCACCAAGCTACCACCTACCTCCCTCCCCCCTCCCCACTTTGGGGCTACTGGCTTCCCGGACCGTCCAATACGCAGGCCGCAGTGCGCAGTAGCTCCTCCATTTTCCAGGCTGCACTCCACGCTCACTCCTCGGGGCTTGCCTTTCCAGGCTTTCCTGAGCAGCTGGTTTATTAATGCGAAGAGCCTCGCCATCCATCGCATCTCTCCCTTAGGCAACACTTCCAACATCCAATCTTCCCATCTCCAATCCGTTACAACTTTCACAATCACCCACGTTACACCTTATCCCCAGAGCTTTTGTCTGCATAAATCGTTTTGGCCCATACAGAGGTTTCCCGTACGTACTAGCTTGCCATAACCAGAGATCGGCACATACCTGGTATCTATTAATTCACCGACGACGTAATCATTCCTTACCTCACCTTGCTTTACTCTCTTGCTGCCTCCGAGAATCCCACTTGAGAGCGAATCCTGCAAGACCGTGACACTACCAATCGAGGCCATGGCTCCTCCTCAACCCGAAAAGAGCCAATTGAAACGAACTAGAGTAAGTCGTCTACTGATCTGCCCGGCCTTCTGGTGTGCAATCCTAAATCGTCTTTCCCTTCCAAAGGGTTCTCTGCCAGAAACCGAACTGGATGCGAAAAAGCCCCGTCGCTCCGACAGGCAATCACCGGAACCCGAGCACAAGACGCCAGTCTCTAAGAAGCACCAGCTTCCCTCGCCAGTCACAAGGTCCGGCGATTCGGATGAGGTCTACAAGGAGCCCACCGCCACACCCCCGGAAGGACGTCCCAGCCAGGTGAACCACCGCGATAAGGACGACGCGTCGCAAGCCGTTAATAACATCTCCTCACCGCCGCAGGAGGCTACTCAGGCTTTCTCGCAGTATGCCCACGAGACCAAGGAGGCCCTCTCGGACGAGGTCGAGGACGAGGTGAAGGAGGGCGTATGGGGATACTTGTTCCCTCTCGATACCAAATATGGCAAAGTTGTCGTCATGAAGAGGCGAGCTGCTTGCCCCTTGCCCGATGCTCTCGAGGCCAAGGAGTCCACGAATAAGGATCAGAATGGAAAGTCGTCTTTGCAGAAGGAAGAGGAGGCGTACGAGCGCACAAAGGTCAAGGGAGTTGCATCGGGCGGATACTTGATTGGCCGTCACCCAGAATGCGGTAAGCCTGTCGTCCGTTTTCGAGCGTAGCCATGGTGGTGCTGACAACCCACAGACATCGTCGTGGACGATCCCATCATTTCCAATAGGCATTGCTTAATCTTCACCGAAAACAAGGGCGGCGACACTGTTGCGATTCTGGAAGATTTGTCTAGTAACGGAACTTTCGTCAACGAAGCAATCGTAGGACGCAACAAGCGGAGAGAACTCCAGGAGCAAGACGAAATCGCTGTTATTGACAAGGCTCGTTTTATCTTCCGGTACCCCAAGAGTCGGCAATCTAGTGCATTCCTGAGTCAGTACACTCTCCTCGAGAAGTTGGGCAAGGGTCACTTTGCCGAAGTGTTTTTGTGTGTCGAGAAGTCTACCGGCCAACGGTACGCCGTCAAGATCTTCACCAAAACGCCAGGCATGGAGGAGAGATCCAAGCAGGAGGGCTTGCAGCAGGAGATTGCTGTTCTCATGGGCGTCAGCCATCCCAACGTTCTCTGCCTGAAGGACACGTTCAATGAACGTAACGCCGTTTATCTGGTCCTCGAGCTGGCTCCTGAAGGCGAGCTGTTCAACTTCATTGTCATGAGGCAGAAAGTGAGCGAGGACGAGACACGTAAGCTCTTCAAGCAGCTCTTCCAGGGCATCAAATATCTCGTGAGTCTCATATCATGGCAATACTGAGCTGAGCGCTGACTGGCAGCAGCACGATCGCAACATTGTTCACAGAGATATCAAACCTGAGAACATCTTGATGGTCGACAAGGAACTCAATGTCAAGCTGGCTGATTTCGGCTTGGCAAAGATCATTGGTGAAGAGTCCTTCACGACCACATTGTGCGGCACGCCCAGTTATGTGGCCCCGGAGATTCTCGCCGAGGGCAGGCACAGAAAGTACACCAAAGCAGTAGACATTTGGTCGCTGGGTGTCGTGCTGTACATCTGCTTGTGTGGCTTCCCGCCCTTCTCGGACGAGCTCTATTCTAAGGAATTCCCTTACACCCTGTCGCAGCAGATTAAAAGCGGTAGGTTCGACTACCCATCACCGTACTGGGATTCTGTTGGCGACCCTGCTCGTAAGTGGCTTGAAAGTCCATTTTCTCTGTACGGAAACTGATGCTTCAAACTAGTTGACCTGATTGATTCTATGCTTGTCGTCGACCCCGACCGTCGATTCACTGTGGACCAGTGTCTCAATCATCCATGGATGACGCAAAACCAACCGGGTGTCAATGATAGCACTGATGGTCTTGTTGGCGGTATTCAAGGCTTGGGCGTCCATCGACGGGGCGTGACCAGAGAACGTACGCTCTTGAGCACATTGAACTCAGTCCAGGTGGCAACCAGAGCGCCTGTGGGAGACAGCAAGAAGCCCGTCAATATCTATGCTAAGAACACGAAGAAGATTCAGCCAAAAGAGGCTGACCCCCACTCGCAGAGGGCTGTGGGCGAGTTCGTGGAGATGGGGGGCAAGGGCGACGAGGCGCTCTTTGGGGCCGATGGGGAGAGCATTTACTCAAAGAATGACATTGCCAGCGCCGAGAAGAATGGTGGGAAGTGATGCTGTGTAATATTCCTTGTGGGTTTGTTCTTTGGGAGCATGGATTATGAGATGTGTCTGGGGACAGCATCGGCGATGTTTTGGGTTCTTGGCTTTCCCGGTGCCATGTAGGCATGTACTATGCTTGCGACACCACCAGCCATTGTTTTTAGTACTGTCACGGGCTTGGAGAGATGAGTTGTGCAGTAAAGCATTGGACGACCTCTACAGATACGCGGGCACGGATGGGCAAAAGTTTGGAGTTTCACGCTGTTTTTGATCGAAACAACGGCCCAATATAATAATAAGCTCAAACAACATGAAAGAATCGTCTGTGAAGAGATGTTTTGTCGATGACATATGCGGCCGGTTGACTAGACTCCATCATTTGCAGGGGAGATAGATTCATGAGCTGTACATCGGGGTCAAGGAGCCAAGACTCAACGATATTACCCACCGATATATCGGCACCGGGAGGATAAGGGCGGCCAGGCTGCTGCGGGTCACACCGGGCGGTCCAGATGGACGGGGTGGGGCCGAATCAACGACATGTCTTCATCGGGTCCTCGTCACTTTTTCTGCCATGTGAGTTTCTTTCGTACTTTCCAAGCAAGATCAAAATATTGATTTCAGAATTTCCTACTTGAGAATATCAGTGTCTCGATTTTCATGCGAATTACAGCATGCCATGGTGAACGATTTGATGTAGATGCGTATTTGGTGCAACGCTCGACGTTGAACGCTGGCACCCCGCTTTATTCACCGCCTTCGCCTAGGGCCCCATTTGCGGTTTTTCGCACAACTGCGAAAGTGGCAGAAAAAATTGCTTACCACCACCCCTCCATCAACGACGACGCAGAACGAGTCGGCCTTCGCAAATCGAAGCACTTGGACTCACCGCACGACAGACCGACCCCCTGTCTCCGTTTTCTCAAACGACACGCCCCCTCTACCTGTCTTTCTCACACTTTCGGCCGTCTGGTTTTTCCCGGGTTCAGAACCTCCTCTTTTTGGTTTTTCTCTCCAACCCCCCGATCAACCGCATAAACCACCGACCTCGAAACCCACCCACCCCCTCTCTTCGTCGTCGACCCTCCCAAAAATCCCGAACACCATATCGGAAACTATCATGGCGGCGGGAGCGAAGCAACAACAGGCGCAGCCGCAGCTGCTGTTCGTCGATGGTTCCTTCCAGGAGCTGGCCCGCGAGATGGCCGAGTACCTCCACATCGCCGACGAGATTAAGCCCCTGGTCGAGAACGAGGCCAAGAAGGAGGAGGTCCTGAGCAAGCTGGTGGCCAAGTCGGCGGCGCTGTCTTCAGTGCCCGAGAAGGAGTTCACGGCCGCCTCAAACCTGATGGTCCACCTCGTCCTGCAGTCCGAGGAGCCCAAGAAGCACCTGCCCGCCCTGTGCAGCGCCTTCAGCAAGCCCATCGCCTCCAGCCCCGTCAACGGCGTCGGCCTGAGCCTCAACGCCCTAAGCACCGTCTTCAACCTCATCGCGCCCGAGAATCCGATCCGGTTCAACGTCTTCATGGCCATCCTGCGCTTCCTCAAGTCGCACGCCATGTACGATGCCGTTCAGCCCTACCTGAAGCACCTCCCCAGCTGGTTCGAGGAATGGGCCACCGGCGAGGAGTTCCAGAGACAGATGTACGAGGAGATTGCCGAGGTTGCCAAGGAGGCTGGCAAGGAAGAGTGAGTTTTTCGGATACCCCGAGACTTTTTGGACGAGAGCAACAGATGTGCTGACAGCATGTGCCCCACATCGATAGGGAGAGCTACGAGTACATTCTCAAGGCCCTGCGCACCTTTGACGCCGACGACAAGGAGGAGATCGGCTCCGAGGATGCCCAGAGACTATCTCTCCGCGCGGTCCGCGACGCCCTCCTGTCCAACACACACTACCTCTTCACGGACATCCGCAGCATACCCTCGATCCAGAACCTCTCCGAAACCCACCCCATCTACTCCCAGCTTCTCGATGTCTTCGCCGAGCAGGACCTCGAGGACTACAACGACTTCAACGACGAGCACTCTGGCTTCGTCGAGAAGGAGGGCCTCAACCACGACAAGCTCCACCGCAAGATCCGCCTCCTGACCTTCGCCTCCCTCGCCGCCCAGACGACCTCGCGCCGCATCGAGTACGCCGCCGTCGCAAAGGCCCTCCAGGTCCCCGCCGAGGAGGTCGAGATGTGGGCCATTGACGTGATCCGCGCCGGCCTCGTCGAGGGCAAGCTCTCCCAGCAGGACCAGGTCTTCCTCGTCCACAAGGTCACCTACCGCGTCTTTGGCACGCGGCAATGGCAGGAGCTCGCCACCCGCCTCGACTCGTGGAAGGGCACCTTTACGAACCTGTACGACGTCATCCGCAAGGAACAGGCCAACGCCAAGGCGCAGAAGGAGCGCGAGGCGCAGGAGGCGGAGCGCAAGCAGCAGGGCGGCGGCGAGGGCGGTCGCGAGGGCGGCCGCCAGCAGAGGGGCCAGGGACGTCGCGATAACAACCAGCAGCGTGAGCCCAGAGAGCCCAGGGAACCCCGTGAGCCTAGGGAGCCCAGAGAGCCGCGCGAGCCCAAGGAGCGGACGGAGGACGACGACTAAGCGGGAGGCATGAATTCTGGTCTGTTGATGATGAGGAAACTTGCCTTTTTCTTAGTTTGGTCTTTTCGCCCCCCTATGGCCTTGAAGGATCCCCCCTTCCCTTCACGCACGACTTGCGGGTCATCAAAGTAGGATTAGGAAGCAAGAACCGTGTTTTTGCGACAAAAGAGGACACAAAGGGCATGAGGGACTCTAGGAAGAGAGAAAGACTCCGTTCGTGTTTTTATGTAATTACGGCGGGGAGGAAAAAACAAAGGGGGGGGGACGGGGACTTTCATGGGCCACGCGAGGAACTTCTATACCTTTAGAGCTTTGAGGTCTTCGCGTGGGAAATATGGTGGGCTTGCTGCATTGCGGGAAGAAAGAAAAAGCAAATGGCCTTTTTTTTTATTTTAACTTGTTTAGGGAGTCCCCGAATGAATCCGGCGTAACGAAGAGATTACGATACAGACGTTCTTTTTTTCTGTCCCTCTCTGCTTAAATTGACCTTGCTATGTGATTGTGGGGTGGAATATAAAAGACTGACAGCCAGCTACATGCAAAGCTCTGTATGTATCCAGGACGAATCATACAGGCGTAGTCCCCAGGCATACCATATGAGCAAGTCAGTAGGACTATCACAAGACAAAATGGTAGAGAGGTTGAGCCAGCAATTCATATCTGATACTTCTGTCCTTTTGTATTTTTTTTTGAGGGTTTGGATTGAGGAAACTCAATAGTACATGTCTAGATATACAATAGACAAACAACAAAAGAGAAAAGGAATCTTCTTTTCGACTCCAGACCTTTCTTACACAAAGCACACACATGGCGAGAGGCCCGCTTCTAGGAGTCTATGCCAAATACGAACTGGCCCTTCTCTACCACACTCCCTTCTCCAGCAATCATTTTGCCTTTGTCCACCCTCCTTTCCTGAGTCTGATATTCACTTTCAGCTCTACGGCACGGAGAAAGACGGGGGCCTCCCACCACGGCAGGGCATGAGCGAAGCTAGGAGAACGCAGGCCCAACTGTCTAGCCAACAGAAGTGCGCGCAGTTCCCCCATTGATCCAGCCTAGGCCCCCGCAACTATGTCGCAGAGTAAACAAATCAGGTCCCCCCCCCCCCTTCTCACCTCCCAAACTCAGATGCCCAAGCGCTTGGAGAGCTCGGAGCGCGTCTTGCTGTAGACGTCCTGCGGCGAAGGCGTAGCATCGAGCTTGACGACGCGGCCCTCCTTTTCAAAGTAATCCACGACGGGCATGCTCGTCTCGACAAAGGTGCGGAAGCGCTTGCGGATGCTCTCGGCGTTATCGTCAGCGCGACCGCTCGTCTTGCCGCGCTCGAGCAGGCGGCTCTCCATGACGTCCTCGGGGCAGTCGTAGAAGAGCACCAGCTTGGCGGGGCAGACGGCCTCCTCGAACTTGACGGCCTGGTCCATCTTGCGGGGGAAGCCGTCAATGAGGAAGCGGGCCTCCTTGCCGCCCGTCTTGTTGTTCTTGATCGTCTCCGTCATGGCGTTCTCGAGCAGCTGGACGGTGACTTCCATGGGCACGATGAGGCCGTCCTTGATGTAGTCCTTGATGAGCTGGCCGAACTGGGAGCCGGGCCGGTCTTGTTCGGCGCGGAGGAGGTCGCCGGCCGAGAGGTGGGTGAAGCCGTAGTCGGAGACGAGGCGGGCGCACTGGGTTCCCTTGCCGGCGCCGGGGCCGCCGAGGACGAAGAGGACTGTCACGTCGGCGGGGGAGAAGGTCGGGGTCGACTTTGTTGGGGAGGGGAGGGCTTGCTTTGCCTCGGGGGCGGGGAGGGAGGCCATCTCTGTGGGTGTTTTTGTCAGTTGAGTCTCTGTCTTGTGGTTGCACAGCTTGATTAAGCTACTGAAAGGATTGGAACACAGATTGTGTGCTCGTCTTGTGGACAGAAGTGACTAGATGTTGTCCAGGGCCAAGAAGACTGTTTTGGAGGGTATGAGGGTTGGACAAAGATAGCTTACCTGCTCTTTGATCAACGAGGAGCTTGTAAGCAAAGCTACCGGCACCAACAACAACGAGGAAGGGCCAGAACTTGACGCCGGAGGATTTCTTAGGGGGTTCAGAGGAGTAGAAGCGACGCGCCGGGAGTCGCTGTTGGAGACGAAGGGAAGAGCGAGAAGTGGAAGTGAGGATATTAGAAGAGCGGATTGGGGAAGAAGAAGCTCGGGAGAGCAGACGGGGCGCAAAGGAGTGCATGATGACGGGGCTATAAGACGGCGAGGTAGGCGCGTGTTTGGTGGGCGGCAAGCGGCTAGTTCGGGAGGAGGGGTGGGAATGAATAAGGTAGGCTTGTCAATGCAAAGTGACGAGACGGGCTGCGGCTACACCGAGGACAAGGAGAGAGAGGGAAAAAAGAGTGACAACGTGTGGTGGTGGTTGGTGGATGGTGGTTTCGAAACCTGTCCTGCGTTCACGCACTCTGTCTGCTAGGGTCAGCTAAGGTAGGTAGGGAAGTGTTGGCGTGGCACAATTTTGGACGGTCCCGTCACCTCCTGAGAGTGGGGCAAATTTGGGGGGAATTGGGGATTGGGATTGGTATTCTGAAATCTGGACTTCCAGACCGCCCGACCTCACGACCCCTGACCACCCTGACGTATGTCCACTTGGCAACAGTGCTGGGTTTCTGGCGCTATCACGTGGAAATACCATTGGGATAAGCTTTCGTCTGTTGGTTGAAGTCGTCTTATTCCTCCGTATCTTCGGTAGCCAAGGGACATCTGTTCTTCCCGAGCGCTTCTTGCATTGCTGGGACCAATCACTGACCTCTGGTTCCTACACAGCTAAGATGAGAGCTCCTCTCTGTAGACTGAGTCTCTGAGCTTACTTACTTAGATTCGGATGTCTTCTCGCTCGTTAATATCCTCGACGCCTCCTATGGATGACCAAAATATCTTCCCAAAGCCTGTCTCACTTGGCTGCATTTCATGCTTTAGCTCATTCATGGGACTTTGTTTCGCTCATGCTACGTAAACAATTCCTGCTTGAACATATCACAGTCACTAATCACAAGGAACTGTCAGGCTAGGGTACCCTGATCACATGTTCGAGATAGGAACGTAGTCATGCCGCATAAGTTTGCCATGAATCTGGGTTGGTGGTCATCCCAGCTACCAGGTCATCTTGTGACGGAGGCCTCGCCCGCAGGATCCGATCACAGCTTTGCCGACGCAAGCGCGGAGTCGGGCGGATAAAAGTTGCGAGCGGCAAACTTCATCTGCGCGACTTAGGTTGTGCGCGAAAACTCGACGACGAGCCTTTGTACCGCGTCGTACCTGCGAGGCCTCCATCGGCACAATTGACAACGAGTATGAGTGCTTGGCTGTCTCATGCGGGTCATGCTAGCTTGAGTTCGCAGGGCTTCAAAAATGCAACAATGCGGCCTATTCTATAATGCCGGTCATGGATGGTGAGCTCGAGTAAGTCGATATCTAACGCGGAAGCGGAAGCGGTTCGGCGCGACCTTTGCACGGAAAAGAAAAGAAACAAGCTATCCACGGCATTAAGTAGGACCGTGAGCCAACATATGTTCTTTGCCAGAATCATACCGCTCGGCCATTAACTACAACGGATGGTGCTTGTTAACAGCTCCTTCATCTTTGGTGCATATAATGAACGGGCAGAGATCAGATGAGAGTCCATCAAGTCCATCAAGGTGCGCAATGAACAGAGATAGAGAAGGTGAGCTTACCTGCTCGATACAAAAAAAGACGGTGTCAGGCCATGTTCATCTATGAATATTGACCTCATGTTTACTCGCCTCTGTACATGAGTACACCATAAGAGGTAGGTAAAAGAATATGACACTTATCCAAGTAATGTGACATACCGATGCTTCAATGATTCGTATTTGTATGTATTGAATATTGCTTTATGATAACTGGCTCTTCTTTAGGTATCAAGGAAGCCCTCAACACTACGTATTACAACACAGTGACTCAAAAACGCATCTTTGTGTAGTCTGCTTACTCGGGTCATGGTGAAATCGATAATCGATAAGAGGGTGAACGTCAACCGGCGAGCTTAGTGACTTCCGGGCTCTGGTCATGTCCGTGGTAAGAAGTTGCAGAACGAAAGAGCTCTCGATATAACACCGAGTGAGTGAAATTCCAACCCATCATAGGATGAATGATTCTGTTCGATATGCCAAAATTGATATATTGTTTTCACCAACGGCATCATTGAGCAGAAGTATACCCAAAGCTCGTGGCTGAATACACATTCAATATGGTTGGCTCACTGCATCTCACGTAAATTCAAGGCACCCTGTATGCCACATCACTCAACCCTATCAAATGAGGATTGACCAAGCTTGCCTATTAAGGCAAGTCCCATCACCGTGTTATTAGAACTGCTTATCCTGCCAGAAACCCTAGAGGAAATAAGCGCAAGGGAGAGTTGTGGAGAACCTCAAATCGCAATTGGAGAACTATGAAGGACGGCTCTTGTCAGCATCATGTTCAGCTCGAAATCGGCATAGGGCTTACATGCGGATCGCCCGAGAAGCTCAGAGGCTGATAACTCCGAGTGGCTGCACCGCAAAAGAGTGAGACAAGATTTGGCGAGAAACGAGTTCCACTTTGTCTGAGCTGCCCCTCACGAAGCTCTCCAGCTCCTCCTAGGGGCCACGCTAGACGCGGGGTCTTCTTGATAAAGACGCCGGGATCCTCGTATGGTTTTCAATGGTCTTGAGTCCGCGGAGATATCAGAACAACAGGATTCAAGACTTATCATTTACACCCAGCTCAAATCTTTACGAAATACTTGTCAAATAAATCACCGTCAAATAAGCTCCAACAATGCCTGTGCTCAAGCCAGACGCTGAATTCGGGCATTGCGTGCCCCCTGAGACGCAGTATGGAATCACCACCTACGCACCCGGGTGGGAAAATGCAATCAAGTTTCGGGAGGGAGATCGAGCCACCATGGCTCGTGTCGTACACATATACCCAAGATTTGGACCCTTCGGGCCCGTCTCCAAGGTCAGTCTTGTCCATCTTGAAGACCCCCTGAATCAACATCACAACTCTAGGCCACAAATACAAAGAACCCACCATGTTCAAAAATATAACTGACAAAAGCAAACAAGGCACTCATGGCTATCTGCGCAAAGATGAAAACCCCCGAAGGCCACGGAGCACTCTTCTTCACCTCACCAGCCTCTTTCGCCACCGTCCGCGCCCATGCTCTTCACCCCCACCGGAAGCAGCACGTCCTGACAGATGAGGACCTAGGCTATAGGTGCGTGGATGTCGGCGATGTGCGTCTCTATCTCGTCACCTACCCGATGCCCAAGACCCCTGGCGTCATCGGCGCCTGGCAAAATCCGGGTATAGGCGTCTCGATCCGTCTAGCCGAGAAGCTCCTGGAGGACATCGATTCCCTCAAAGAGGTCGAATTCGACGGCGCGGGAGACTCGCCGCCGCCGACAGAGTATCTCCCTGAGGGCGAGGCGCACGGCAGGCTGAAGGAGCGCATTACTGGGCTCCTTCACAGGGCCGCGATCGACCCGGAGCAGGTGAGGGCCGAGACCGGGGATGTCTTCCTGTACCCCACAGGTATGGCCGCCATCTTTGCCGCCCATAGGACCCTGCTTGAGTACCGGCCCGGCAGCGTTGTGATCCTCGGCATTGCCTTCCACAGCACCGTTCACTATCTCCAAGACTCCTCACCACGCGGCTACAAGCACTTCGGTCCTGTCGACAAAAAGGGTGTCGATGAGTTTGAGTCTTGGCTCGACGCAGAAGCGGCTTCTGGAAGGGACGTGAGCTATGTTATCGCCGAGTTCCCCAACAACCCTCTACTAGCCAGCATTGACATCAACCGCATCAGAAAGCTTGTAAGTGACAAATCATCAGATATCAGGGGTTGATGTACCTAGTTAACACCTACATATAGTCCCAAAAGCACAACTTCGTCCTCGTGCTCGACGATACAGTCGGTTCCTTCGGCAACATCGACATCCTTCCCCAGTCCGACATCCTGATCTCCTCGCTCACAAAGTCCTTCTCGGGCTACGCAAACGTCATGGGCGGCAGCATCGTTCTCAACCCGCTCTCACCACACTACTCCGCCCTTCACCCCCTCTGGTCCAAAACCCACCACAATGAGCTGTTCATCGGCGACGCCGAGGTCCTCCTCTCCAACTCGGAAGACTACCTTCCGCGCACCGCGATTCTGAACCGCAACGCCGCCGCCATGGCCGCCCACCTCCACGCCGAAGCCACCAAGAACCCCGGGTCGGGAGTCGTCAAAGTCCTCTACCCCTCCGTCCTCCCAGACTACGAAACCTACAAGTCCTTCCTCCGCAAACCGACCCCGGAGCTCCCTGAACCGGGAGCGGGATGTCTTCTGAGCGTCGATTTCGACTCCGTGGACGCCGCGCGCGCCTTTTATGACCGGTTGGCGTTTTACCCAGGCCCCCACCTCGGCGCGCACCGCACGCTCTGCCTGGCATATAACACGCTCGCGTTCGGCAAGGACCCTGACGAGGCGGCGTTCCATCGGTCGTATGGCATCTTGGAAGAGACGGTGCGTATTTCTGCTGGGTTGGAGGATGTTCAGGACCTGCTTGACACGCTGGATGATGCGTTGGCTGTTGCGAGGGAGGTTAAGGCGAAGTTGGCGGAGGGGCCTACGACCGTGGAGGCTGCTGCTGGTTTTGGTGTTTCTTCCTAGTGATCTGCCTTGTGACGCTGGGCTGGCTTTGCGGCGGAACAGAGCTCTCTACCAATAAAGCGCATTTGGATGTTGTTCTACCCTATATTTGTGGTCCATAAGATCGGCCTTTCTCTAGTAGACCTGACACACTGCCGGCTAGCCAAACTCTCATCAACGTTGGAAAGGAAGACTGAGGCCGTCTAGACGCATCGTGAGATCTACACCTCTCTTTCAGCGATATAAAATATTCAGAGTGAATATTACAGTTAGAAGAGTCCCGGTAGTGTTTGAAATGAACCCCTCACTGTCAGATAAGTCTAGGTTGATGTCAACTGGACCTGCTTTCTTCACTCGCCATTTTTTGCACAGCCTTCCACTGTTATTGGCCGGTTATGCGTATTATAAATGCCTAGAAGGCCCAATTTCCAGGAATCTTCGCCGAGAATAAGCCCAATACACACAAAGCAAATCTGTAGAAGGCTCAGCCTACTGGATACTTGGCTTTTTGGAAGCTACTGTGAAGCACGTTGATGTTGTCGGAGTTTTTGCAAAGCCTGGGAGCCATAGAGCCGCTCATTCCACGCTCAACTCCAATGCTCCTAAGTTGTTGTATGCTTCCAGCACAGCAAAGCCCAGAAAAAACCTTTCTCTGGTAGTTTCAGATCAAGTCAAAGATGCCGGTGTCGCTGGTACTGGTGTCGCCGTGTTCGGCAGAGCACACAATAGGATTGGAAAGTGGCGAGAAAAGATTTGTTTGCCTTTGACCAGGTGATGATTCATTCAGAGAACATCGTTGTTCTAGACATCATGAAGATAAACGAAACGTTTCATATTTTTATAGGGTAACAATAAAACTGCACATAGGCCTTGCGGAACCACAAGAGTCTGCACCTCAGCACTCGCTCGAAAGTTGAAGAGTCTGTTACGATATGCTTTGGCTTCATTACAATTCTGTGCGTGTTTCTATTGGCGCGGAACCTGGCCATGATTTGAATAGGTCTTTTCATAGCCCACACCCCTTTTTTTTCTGGATTCAGATTTCTCTTCCCTCTACATCCCCATACCCTCAGCTTGACTTCATCAGTAAGCCTTGCAAGGCATTCACAGTGGCCATCTATTCGGCGAGAACCACAGCCTAGACCTAATCAGAGGCTGCGGCCTCTCCCTTCTCGGGCTTACGACCAACGACCGAGTAGCTGGCATCAAACCATCAGCACAACATAGACTTGGAAAAACTCGTACTAGAGACGGAAAGAGAGGACTCGATACTAACATGGGAAAATAGGCGTGGTAGCTCCTATTCTTCAAATCCCTGCGGACATCGATGAGGAATATGTCAACTTCGTCGCGGGTCCAGCCGTGAACTCGGGTGAGCAGGGCCATACACACGGCTTCGAGGGCGCCGAAGAAGTTCTCGTGGCACCAAAGACCGAGTTTCTTGTATCTATCCAAAGGTACATGTAGTGTCAGTCCAAATATATCTTCCGACCTTGGAAATGACGAAACATGTTTCGTCACCCAATGGAACGGGGGCTTGAGGGACAAACGGAGGAAAGTGTCATTGAATTGCTCATACTTCTCATCTTTGGGCCAGCCATTCATAGGCCACTTGAATATCCGAAGCTCGACGTCGACAAACCCAGCCTTAACAAGAAGGCTTTCAAGGGTAGACACGTCGACGAACAAGCGGCCCATCTTCTTGGACCCAGACCGGATGAGGTTGATGTACTTGTGTATCGAAGATTCCTTGGGAAGGGTACCGTCATCGGATACGGGGTCGACTTGGTTCTCGAGAAGCTCGAGGTATCCGCCTGGTGCAATGTTGCTGAGGCCAAGGTCAGTTATTCGCCCAGTCGATCAAGTGAGCGGGTATCATTTAAGGAATACTGACTCGTAGCATTTTTTGAGTTATTCTTCCCAATTTTCGATGCTTGCGTTCATAAAGCGGCTGTGAATGTAGTTGAATGGCTCCGAGTACGTCCACTCCTCTTCAATATCGTCTATCTCGAACCTCACGTTTGGAGGTACACTCAAAGCATAAAGATCAGCTCCGATGAAACTGGATGAGTTCTTAACTCGATACGCAAATATGACTTACAATTCCTGCTGAGGAGCAGAAAGATCGATGCCCAGAATCTGGATACATAAGAATAGTATGTTAGAAACGCGGATCGTCACACCAAACAAGCTCAGGGGCGACAAGGGAGAAGCATCGCAAAGATACCTCAGCTTCAGGGTGCAAGTCTCCGAAATCGACGGCCCAGACCCCGGTTCCGGTCCCGACGTCAAGGACGCGACTGACTTTGGAGTCCGGTTTGCACGGAGGGGCGAGGCCGAGTTTGCCATCGAGAGTGTAGATGAAGATCTCGTGTTGTTGGTCTGCTCTCTCCAAAGGGGATGAATAGTCTAGTCAAACGTTGTTCTTCTTTTGACACGAGACGCGAGAGAGTGTGTGGGAAAAACGAATACGCACCTAGTCTGTCGCTCTCTCTTGCGTCGTTTGGAAAGATGTATTCTGCTTCGACATTAGCTTTTCAAAGGCCGACTAGGTGTAGATCTCTGATTGGAGAGAATTATCTCACTGCCGTCTTTGTATCGATGGTAAGTTCTGCCATTCTCTATCCGGTAGTCGAGGATAGAGGCGGTGATGCTTGTGCTCGAAGATGCGATGCTCTGTCAGGTTCTTAGAGACCGTCTCTCTTCATATCACCGCACATAGCTGAAGGTGATTCTGCAATAGAAAAGCTGGCCTACCTCGAGATCCGAACCGTCGTGCTCAGATTCCTAACATAATAAGAGAAAGGTAAGTCTCAGACTCGCAGAGTGTTGGTAGCCATCGAAATTTTGTAACATGGCGTAAATACCTCATCTCCTGGCACAATTGAAACCTCGTGAATGACTTCAGACATGTTTGAAGTCTGCGATTCCCCAAGGACTTGGTCGTGTAGCTCAACCTTAAGTTAATGCCTGGTATCTTTGACTATGTTTCGATGGAACCTTGCACACCAGAATCGAGGGCTGATTCTAGTGAATACAGAATAACCAAAAAAGTGGAAGAATAAACCGAGGATAATCAGCCCTTTTTGTGCCAGGATATTGGAATAGCGAACCCCTCTTCCACGGCGGAAAGGATGGAACCATATGTCCGCGACAGCAACCAACATGCATATGCGTGTCAACGGCTCGGTTGCCTTTTATACTCACACTTACAAGGATTCTAATGTGGAGATATTTCCAGATTGGCTTGTTTGCTTGAAACCTGCGATCATGTCATGGTTTTGCAAAAAAGCCCCCGATGATGTCGAGTTGACCAAATCATTCCCTTATTCTGTACATATATTGGTCAAACCGCCCGAACCACCCTACAATCAGAAGCAATGAAAGCAAAGAGAGTAACGCAACCCATATGGAAGCCATCCAAACACATCAAATTCCCATGAGAAGTATCCTGGGGAGATCGCGTGTCTAGACTTGAGGGGTCCTAATGCCTCTGTGTAATCATCAGCTTCGTCAATGCAGTCACTGGCCTGGAGGCATTGTAGATCATTCGTAGTTTGCATCTCAACACTCGCTCAAATTTGTAACATCTGCTACAACGTGCTCTGGCTTCATTACATATATATTCCTCTGCAAGTAGTCTTGCAGCTTGTCAAACGGAAGAGAACAAGAAAAGACCAACGCCAAACTTTCCCTTCCTCACCGGGCCCAACGTGTCAGAAGCCCACACATTCCACATAATCTCATCTACAAGGGCGTCACACCATTTTTCTATTCCTCCCAAAAATGCTCTCTTACACCATCGCAGTCACTCTCCTGACAGTTCTCCTTGCGCCTTCGCCGCTAACCATGATAAGACCCTCCATCTCCAAGGTCCGCATCGTCTCGTTGAAGTCGCTCTGCTCGACAGGCATGCTAGCCGACTCGCTGAGCCTCCGCGCAACCTCGGCCCACTTGACGGTCTGTCCGTTGCTGGTCAGCTCGTCAAGCAGGTGGAGCACTGCGTTCTTGATCTCCTCCTTCTTGCGGCGATCGGCAGCGCTCGTGCCCTCTGTCAGGAGACTCATGTCGATGCGGCCCTGGGAGTCGGTGGCTGCAGTCTTCAAGGCAGAGCGGATGAGGCGGGCGGCTTCCATGACGTCCTCACGAACAACCGTTGTAGACAGACGCATCTTGGCGTGAGCTTCAGACAGACGGATCATGGACTCAAGTTGACGAGTGGTGGCAGTGATGCGCTTCTCCGCAGCGCGGACATCCTGACCAAGCTTGCGCATCTCGAGGTACTGGTTGACCAGCTCCTGAGCGGCATCCTGGGCGATGGTGGGCTGTATTTGCGAGCGAGCGTAGGAAATGTAGGTAGTGAGGAACTCAACAGGCTGCATCCGGTTAGCAACTGTAGAATTCAAGCGAGTCATCAGGTACTTACGAGAATATCGTCCTTCTGCTGGGCAGACTCTGGATTATCCTCCAGGTACAGGGAAAGAAGATGGCGAGCAAGACGAGCATCGCTCTTCTCATCCGCGCGGTCAAGAATAAGGTAGACCAGATCGAAACGAGACAGCAGAGTGGGGGGCAAGTCAATGTTTTGAGGCACGGGTAGGTCAGGGTTGTAACGACTGCCAATTGGGTTGGCAGAAGCCAAGATACTTGTCCGGGCGTTCAAGGTGGTGATGATACCGGCCTTGGCAACGGATACCGTCTGCTGCTCCATCACTTCGTGGAGAACAGAACGGGTAGATTCTGACATCTTATCGAACTCGTCGATACAGCAGACACCGCCGTCGGACAGAACTAGGGCACCAGACTCAAGAACGAGCTGGCGAGTCTCGGGGTCTCTCGTGACGTACGCAGTGAGACCAACAGCGGAGGAACCCTTACCACTGGTGTATACACCACGAGGAGCAATCTTGTGCACGTAGGAGAGAATCTGGGACTTGGACGTCGAAGGGTCACCACAGAGCAGGACGTTGATATCGCCTCTGTATCTGGGGCTGCCACCCTTGGTGAAAGTCTTGTTGGTGCCACCAAATAATTGTAGCAAGATTCCCTTCTTGACGTCGTCCATCTCGTAGATAGATGGAGCGAGTGAGCGAGAAAGAAGATCGTAAATGTCTGGTCTGGCAGCGGTCTCCTTGATCTTCTCTTCCTCCTCAGGGCTGATCTTCTTGGTTTCTTCAAGGTTAGGGTCGTTGCCAGAATCCTCTTCTTCACCTTCGAGGCCGAGAGTAGAAGTATCGACGCCCATCCTCTTCTTGTCCACCTTTTGAACGTGCAACACATCGACATATGTCTTGTAGATGCTCTTGATGGTTCTCTGGCGAGGGTTCACACGTACAGGGTTGACGCGGAAAATGCCCGTAAGCTCAACTCGGTCACCGGCTTTGCAGAAGTCCACCAATTCGTTGTACACGCAGACCGAGACCGAGTGGGGCGTTTGACCCGCAGGAACTGCATCTGGGGTCTCCTGAAGCTTGATCACCTGCTTGTCGTCGAACACACAGCGATTATGGATGATCTGCATGGAGTTCTTGGAGGCGCAGCGATTACGCGGGCACTCGGTGGGCTCGCGGATTTTGCCTCTGTCGAGACCAACGTTGACCGAGTGATTGCAAACACTGCAACGGAAGAACGCATCTTTCATGTCTGGGATGACTGGCGTGGTGCGGATGACAAGACCCTTGATGGTGATGAGTCTGTCCATATCTGATGGGTTCAGGTCTCTAAGGTTGGTTGTCTTGTCCAATCCGAAAGGTCGGACCATGTACAGCAAGCCAGAAACCTCGTCTTCCTTAGAAGGGAGATCCATAGTAGGTCGCGGTGTCGGGGCATCAGAGCCAGCATGGTCTGAGCTGGGGAAGGCAATCTCGGAGCTGGGCGCAGTGTTGCTACGCCTAGCCGCATCGCCAGCGCTGCTCTGAGAGGCACGTTGTCTTTGGTCTTCCGCTCTTGCTAATTCAACCATCATGTCGCTCACTGACTGATCCATAATGGGGACGATTTCCTGCGGGTAGGCTTGTAGGTGGTACCAGAGCTTGCGTGTCGGGGGGTAGGTGTTCAAATCGGCGACGTTGAGATGAAGCCTGGCGGTACCGAGAAGAAGCATGTTTTCCAAAGCCTCCCAGTATGGCTTGGACTCGGCGTCAGGGGCATTCTGAACCTCTGCCTCCGTCCAGCCCTCCCTGTACAGCTGGTATTTCCGTGTGAAGTGCCTGAGGAAATCCTTAAAGGCTGCGAAAGTGTCGTCGACGGAAACCGTGGTACCCCAAATGGCACTCTCTCCTTGCCCACCGAGACGATCTGCCTCTGACGTGTTGGGGTCTGGGTTGCTGAATGAAAGTGCATCAGAGCCCGGAGCGTCTGTGGTCACTCTGCCTTGGGGATCCAAGACGATGCGGCGGCGGGGTGTTCTGATCCCTTCTGAGTTGATGTCACCTCTGCGGGAGCGAGATGCTCTATCGGAGACAAAAAGACCACTGCTTTCACTGCGCAAGTCTGACTGTGGCGCCCGCATCGGTCCCGGACTCGAGCTGGCTTCGTATCGGATTGGTGACGATTCTGGAGATACAAGTCAGTGCATTGCACGCATATACACCAGTGAAGTCCTTACCTCTCATCATACCGCTCGCACGCGGTGTCCTGTCTCCATCGCCGGTCGATTGGGTGTCAATGTCTTGACGTAGCGGTGAGCTGGGAGCAGGCCCAGCCGCGGTGCTCTGACTATTGCTCATATTCCTCAAGGGGGACGACACATCGCCATTGGCAGGTGCATTGCGACGACCATTGGCAGACTGCGCCGGGGAAGATTCATAGAACAGAGGACTGGATGCGAGCTGAGACCGGCGGGTTGTGCGAGGGGTCTCTGCAAGGCGTTGTTGCGCCTCTTCGTCTGCCGGCGCGGGGGTGCTGCGATCAGCGTCCGGGTTGTTTCTCGTAGAACGGCGGGGAGTTCCACCAGCCGTTGAGCTTCTCGTCGACCTTTTCGAAGGGGAAGACATTTTGTTAATGTTGACGTTCGTAGTCTTCCTTGCGGTTGTTTGTCGAACGGGGGAAAGTGGGATACGGGATGCGACTGAAAGAATATGTGCGTTGCTGGGGAGAGGGGAGGTGTGGAGAGGCGTCGTTCAGGAGCAACTAAAAGGTGGGCTGCATTGCAATCTCGAAAAAGCACTTTACGCGCTCACCCGGTCTGAACGCGTCCGAAAAGGAGTTTCGCGTTTTCCACTTTACGCGCTGTGGAAGCACTGGCCTGTGCGCTCCATCTACCGCCCATGTCGCTGGGGCCACCTATCTGATGGGGGCTCAAGGTCGGGTGGGTCCGCATAATCCCTGCTATCCGGCCATCGGCGAAA